GGTGACAGCATCCCTGTGGAATGTGTACTGACTGGCCCGGTTCTGGGATGATAAGATTAAATGCTCAGAGAACAAAAAAAGAGCCCGGACTGCGATGTATAAAAGGCCCCAATGGAGCGTCTAAGTAATGGACTATGTTCGTCAGTCATAACTGATGCTCTAATAGAAGAGTCCTCTAGTGATATTTTCGGTTTGACTTTATAACATAGATACGCCACATTTATTTTTAATACTCTAGGGTTTTTTTTAAATTCCCTTTTGCCACATCACAGTTGTATGAAATTTCTCAAATGCTAGAAGTAATTTGCCAGTGTGTCCTGTTACAAGTTGAACATTGTCTTTTCTTCCCTGTAAAGGAAGAGTAAACTTTGAAGTCAATGAAGAGTTTCCTAACATCGCTACCCCTGGTCAGGAGTCATTAAGGGTAGTCTTTTCTCAAAAGAGCACAGTCATGGGTACTGGGGTGGGGGTAGGATAATTTCATTTCCCTGAGAGGTGCTCCCTGAAAGAAATTTTGGAATAGTAGACAGCTGGGTTCATCGACTTGCTGAAGTGATCACTACAACTGGTGAACCTGGAGATTTGGGAGAGCTAACCATAGGCAATGTCAAGGTCATGATCTTATATAGGCAGAGCAAAAGGATGGGAAGATGATGCAGGTGGTGCGTGTGGTTGTGAGAGAAGAAGAGTATTTCTGACTCTTGAATTCGTGGAGAAAAAAAGATGTTGAGACATTGTTAGTATTCTGTCTAAACTCCACCTCCACAGTTACCTGGCAGTGGCCAGGTATGCTCCTCTCCACAGTTACCTAACAACAGATGGGTAGACCTGCCCACTATAAAAGGGGCTGCTTGGCCCCTCCTCTCTCTCTTGCCCCCTTACTCCTACGCCTGCAGGTCCTCTTTGCCCCCTCCCCCCTTCCCTTCCCCCTCTCTCTACGTGGTCATGGCTGGCCTCTACTCCTCTGCGCTCTCTCTCTCTCTCTCTCTCTCTCTCTCTCTCTCTCTCTCTCTCTCCATATCTATCTATCTATCTATCTATCTATCTATCTATCTATCTATCTATCTATCTATCTATCTGCCTCTACTACCCTCCTGGCTCTCCCCTCCCCATTCCCTGAATAAACTCTATTCTATGCTATACTGTTGTTGGTTGGTTCCTCAGGGAAAGAGATGCCTTGGCATGGGCCCGCTGAGACATCCCCTTCCATCATTGGTTTCTCTCCACCATTGGTCCCCTTTCCTTCAGACATGGTTCAGTGACTTAGGGACCAGACCACTCTAGTAAAGGATCCAAGGCAGGTTCCCAGCACCCATGTTGGGTGGCTCCCAACTGCTCCAAAGGATTCAGTGCCTTCTTCTGCCCTTTAAAGGCACCTGCGCTCACATATACCCTCCCCGTCCCCCAATTAAAAATAAAGCAAATATTAAAAGAGAAACCAGAGGTACAAGGAACGGAATCACTGAAGTGGCTGGGGAAATTTACAGCATTGGGTTGGCACACCTACTCAACAGGGTCACACCTCCTAATAGTGCCACATATGGGCCAAACATTCAAGCACATGAATCTGTGGGAGCCATACATATTGAAACTATCACAGGATGGTTGTGAGTTGTTGGATGTGGGTGCTAGGATCAGAATTCTTGTCCCTTGGAAGAACAGTATGCCTTCTTAACCAGTGAGTGGTGTCTTTAGTCCCACATCCCCATGAGTCACCTCCAGCATCAGGGATAATATTTTTAGTAACAATATGATTATCTCAATGACTCCGCCAACATTTTGGCATCTGTTGCTGATTTAGGCTGACTAATGAAACGTTTGCATTGCATGATGCTAGGATGAATTGAAGGCTGGCTGCACTCTGACCAAAGGCTTTTCTTGCAGAGTGAAGCTCCATTGCTGGAGTTATCACTTCAGGAGAGTAGGAGTGGATGGTCTCATGTTTGACAAAGAAATGATAAAACATACCCTAGGGCATCAGACCCTGTCTATAAATTATAAAGTGAGACTGGTCCTTGACTCTACCTTACCTGTCCTTCCTGTATCTTTTCTCATAGCATCTTCACATAGACAATTCTGCATAGGTGAGCGGGTACCCAGGAAGCAGCCAAGGGATAAAGTGAGCACATTCACCTTCCAAAGAGTGCTTGCTTTGCCCGTTCAGGGATGGTGGACGAAGCTAGGCTTTTGGAAACACTTGGGAAATGCTCTACCTGTGGGTTACTTCCCTAGCTGAGTGCTGTATTTTTACCAGCAACTCTCAAAAATCCAAAAGCTCTAGAGCTTAAATAAGTAAAGAAACGAACAAATGAATGAACACTACTGCGAGCGTCCTAATGCTTCTTTCCCACACAGTATTTGGCATAGACTGATTTTGTCTGTTTTCTTTTTTTTCCACAGGGCTATATAAAATGGTTTGATCATTGTTTTATTTCATTTTTGTTCATATCTTGCCTCATTGTTAGTACATGAGGTCACTTATAATAATAAACACAGACTTTAAAATAGTAACCTATAAATCAGGCCCAGAGCAATAAGAACCATCGTAGTAGAAAGTCATGGCCAGGCATAAAAGTAGAACTTAAGCAAACTCCTAGAATTAAGTTTCAAGACTGGTCTAGGATTCCCTGTGAAAGTGCAAAGGGAGACATGATACTTGTGCTTCCATTTCTCCTCACCCCTCTCACCCTTTCCGAACACTCAGCTTCTTAGGGGAAATACACCCAGCCTTGCCTGATACATCGCCCCTGGGAGAAACTTCTCCTAAGAAGCTATATGTTTTTAACAGCATCACAGTTTTTCTACAAAAATTTTCCTAATAATGGACATAAAATGAAAAGGAAATAAGTCTTAATTGAATAATAAAAAAATGAATGGTTAAGCTGTGCTTTAGGTATGAAGGAAACAGTGAGTGTCTATGACGTGACTCAGGAGACCTGTGTTTGTTTACCAACTTGTATCTCAGTAGCAATAACTAGGGATTTAAGAACCCTCGCTTGTGTGCTTTGGAAACCTCAGGCAATCACTTGGCAAGGTTGCATCAGTCTCTGGTTCTTATGGAAATAGCCAAAGTGATGTTCACTTGATAAAGTGATGATCACTTGATAAGTGTTTGCCGAAGGACACAAATCCTGTGTAATTTTGTTGTGTGTTTATGATGTGCTTCACATAATTAATACTTTCAATGAATGGGACATTAGGAAAGGATAAGTTTTACTTACCCTGTTTATCTCCAACTGGGGCAATATTGGCTAAACTGTAGAGATGCTAAGTTGGCAGGGTTAATTTAGACAACATGTCTCATTCCATCTTGATCACATCATCTGGAACACCCAGATGCCCATCTGCCTGACTGTGGGAGTTTTCTGGGCCACTTCCTGTTCCCAGTCCCTACTCCTTTCTTGTTCTGACCCTAGCTACGACCTTGACCCAGTTTCCTGGAGGCAATCTCTGTTTAGCCTCTGGCTCCTTACCCTGAAGGTCTGTGGCCGGGGGCTCCTGCCTTGCTGTTCTTTCCATGTTCCTCTGTGCTGGGCCAGCTTGTCATGTTTCTTAGTGTCTGTGGATAGGTGTGCAGTCAGACTTATCTCTTTTATGAGTAGACTGGAGTCAAAGAGAAAACGCAAATGCTGACCACAATGGTTTAACAGAGTGAAATATTCAAAAGTGTATCTATCCATCCATCCATCCATCCATCCATCCATCCATCCATCCATATACACACATGTATACATGCACACACATACATAGACACATACACGCACACACATGCATATATACATACACATCTGAAAAATGCTCAAATGTGTATCCATCTGTCCCAGTTACCTTTTTGTTGTGTTGATAAACACTATTACTGAAAAGCAACTTGAGAAGGAAAGGGTTTATTAATTCGTATTACATTTCTGTCACTGAGGGAAGTCAAGGGAGGAACTCAAGTCAGGAACCTCCAGGTAGGAACTGAAATAGAGACCATGGAGAGATGCTGCTTACTAGCTTGCTCCCTCTGGTTTGCTTAGCCATTTTTCTTATACAGGCCAGGCCCACTTGCCTAGAGATGGCATTGCCAGAAGTGAGCTGGACCCTCTTGCCCCAATTAGCAGTTAAGAAAATACCTCATGACAAGGGTCAATCTGATCTGGTGAATTCTTCGGTTGAGGTTCCCAGATGACTTCAGGTCTGTGTCAAGTTGGTGGCTGAATCTAATAGGACACCATTCATCTGTCTGTCCATCCATCTGAAAAATGCTCAAATGTGTACCCATCTATCCATTTCTCCCTTATGTGTCTGGCACTGAAGAGCTCATGGAAGCAAGCATTACAGATACTGTTTTTCTTCGTGGTATTGTATTAGTGATAAAGGAAGAAGTAATTTTTAAAGCACATTTTGGTGTGCAATTTATTATTTAGCTATAGAGAGGAAATAGCTAACAAGGCAATCAGGAAGACTGATGTGACAAAGTTGATGTGTTCTTCAGAGCAGTTACTAATTGGTTTCTATGGAGATTCTCAAACTGGGCTGCTCCTGCTGGTCTGAGACCCTCTACAGCATCTGAAGATGTTTTGTTTCAGTTTCAAAGAGGTGATACAATGGCTCTAAGCTGGGGATACCAGCAGTCACCCTACGGTACCCAGGATGGCCCCCACAATGAAGAATTATTTATACCAAATGAGCAGCAGATAGGACACAGGACTGACAACTCAGCTCAGTGGGAGGATGCTCGCCTAACATGTGCAAGGGTGAAGTTTAAAACCCCTCACTACTTTATCAGCCAATCAAAATGTCTTCATTAGAGCAACTAGCTAAACAGCTTCCTTTAGCCTAATACCTCTTGCTATCTTCAATAATAGTGTCTGGCATTTACTGCTCAGGCTGTGGCAGGCATGATGGTTATTCTTTCAACTGATTATATCATTTAACTCTCAAAGCCCTAAGGGGTACGCATCATTACCAGTTTGATTTTAGAGGTGAGATAAGTTTGGTGGAGTAAAGAAACACAAATACTTACCTGGCAGGGGAGATAGCATGATAGTGAAGGTGGTTTTCCCAGGGGAAGACTTATCCAATACACTCCAAATGTGCTGACCCCTGTGTTTTCCACAGACGTGGGAAACTCAACTACAAAATTTATGGCAGTAGGGGGCTTCATTCACATTTTTCCATGTCGAAATTGAAATTTAACAGCAAAATAAAGAAACCCATGCAAGGGCTGGCGTGATCGCTCGGTGGTGGAGCTCTTGCCTAGCATGCATGCAGCTTTGGGTTCAGTGCCTGCCACTGCCAAAGAGCCAAGCAACCAAAACAGAAAAGCAATGAAAAGCCTTGCCCAAGGTCTCACTGCTAGTGGCAGAGGTCTTTCTGTCAGCCCAGCCTCATTCTTCACCATCATAAGAGCCCAGGAATTGTGCCTTCTCATTCTTCACCACCACAAGTGATACTTTTAGCTCAAACATGGACGTCTCCCTTCAGCTCATGAGTAGTTGCTTTCGTGAGTTTATGTGGGCTTCAGGCTTCCGGTGGGAATCTGAGGGAACAGAGGCTGGCATACAAGTGCATAAATTCAATCCAAATTTGGGGAAAGAGTGTTTTACACTTGAAAACATCAACATCTACTTTAGATGATTAATTAACGGTTCTCCCACACAACTGTACAGTGGCCATATTAATCCAGTCTAATTAAACCAAATCAACCCAAACTGTTAGTCATCTCCAATTCAGCAATGCCTGTGTTGCTGTGTGGTAAACAGCAGGGCTATAAATAGCAGATGAAGGCTGACAGGCTCCTACACAGCCAGTCCGCCTTCATTACCTCAGACTACTTGCTACTTGCTACTCTGGTCTCCTCCCCCCCTCCTCTGTGTGTGTGTGTATGTGTGTGTATCTATCCCCACTTCTGCTTTACCAACAGCCCCTGGGCAATAATGATTAGAAAAAGAAGAAGAACCTAGGATCAGACCACATTCTTTGTCAACTTTTGGTGTCTCCTGATACAGAACATTACTGTACTGTCATGCAGTCCCTTGCTTGTATTACGGTGTCTGAACACTCCTAGACTGTAAACTGATCAAGTTCCTTAACCCCATAATCTAGCTGATAGAAGGTAACCAAACACCACCTCTGCCCATGTGATAGGGGAGAATTCCTCTGTCTTCTCACCTGAATACAACAGGCTTGTGCCACCCAGAAGAATGAAAAGGTGACTCAGAATATGTGGGGTCCGCACAGCCCAGGGGGATATCTCTATGAAGAGGAAGAAGTATGGGCCCCACAGATAGCAGGTCAGTGTGAAGAATGCTGCTTTGCTTGTTCCCAGTGAGTTCTTTAAATAGTTTGTGTTGAAATAGCCCGTTGATTTGGCTGTTTCGTTTCCAGGCTTTTGAGATATGTATGCACGTGGACGTCTTTTACACACTCTGAGGCATTTTTAGAAATAATTCAACTAGAATTCATATCTGGTTGTCAGTGAATTAAAACGCCTTTAAGTGCATGGTAGATAACAGTGTCTAGTAGGTTAAATGTCAAAGATGTTGACCTTTTTTGGAAAGGGGAGGTTGATAGGTGCAGATATTTTTGTGGGGAGCATCCCTTTATCCTGTGTGTCATCAACACCAGTGTATCACTTCCCCCATAAAATTTAGTATGTCTCACCGGAACCACTTCATTTATGACTTCTTTGAATTCATTGCACAGTAGATGTCTGCCCAAGGGTGTGTGTGTGTGTGTGTGTGTGTGTGTGTGTGGTGTGAGTGTGTGTGGTGTATGGTGTGTGTGTGTGTGTGTATGTGTGTGATATTCTTCCATCCTTTAGAAGTTACAGAAAAGTTAAATATTCTTTAAAAATCTAAGGCTTGCCGCTAGTTTAGGTCAATACTAAAATTCTAGATTCTAGAGCCTTCAGAAAGGTTTGTAGAGGTGCTGCTGTTAACTGACCTTATTCTAAAACACCCTTTCACATTGCTTACAGCCCTTCTCAATACCACAAGCATTTAGGGTCCTACCGAGTGAACCTAGCAGGTGGCATTAGCAGACCGCAACCTGTACCTGGCATGTTCTCTCAGCCCTGGGCCTGATGGCTCTTTTATTTATTCCCATTTCATGGAGGAGACAAGTGTAGCATCCATGAAACAATGCAGGTTAGTCTTACAGCTAAGACTACAAGGGCTTGAATGCAGGGGCTGACACTGAAGGCCACATGGTCAAGGTTCACCCGAGGGTAACTGTCCTCGGACCCGGGGTTTAGCTGAAGGATTGCAGAGAAGCAACAGAATAAGCAGTGTGAGTAGACAGTGGAGGCTGACGTGGCTGACAGGGTATCTCTCATTTTCCTCATGAATTTTATAGCAGTTGTGAAAGTAACAAATTGGCCCAGAAAACTGGATATCCTTTCCAAATACATAATAGTATGTTTTATTCAATTTACCTGTTGCTATAAGTTATTGAGAACTTCCTTAGTCCTTACAACGCTTTGATTACCCATCATTCCTTCCTTCCTCTTCATTTCCTCCCCTATCACCCACATCACTTCTCCCTTCTACCTTCATCCCCCCACTTCCCCAACTGAGTCCACTTAGTGTTGACTGTATGTGCGTGGCTGTAAGAACATCTACTGTGGCCTTTCAGGGGCCATATTTCTGAAGACATTGTCCTCTCCTCCCTCAGTTGCCATCTGTCACCAAGAGCATCTTAGTTAGGGGTGGGACACCATGAATCCTCCCTCATCTGTGTTGGGATTTTGGTATTACTGGATCTTGTGCAGGTCTTGTTTGTATGGCCACTGCTGCTGTGATCTATGTGTGCAATAGCCCTGACCTGACACTCCTTTGAAAACATTTCCTGGTGTTAGGCAGCTCAGCTTGATTTCAATACTTCCTACCTTGACTTGTTTCCACTAAGAGACACATAGAGGGGAAATTAATTTTAATGTAGTAACCATTTCATTAGAGAAGCGATGTGTTTGAGTTCTAATTCTGCAGAATTCTCTCTTGCTCTCCCTGCCACCCCTCTGTGTGTGTGTGTGTGTGCCTGTATGTGAACACCTGAAGCTTGCTATTTCTGCTACAGTGACTGGGCAGTGGAATCCTGGGATCTACCTATCCCAACTTTCATCTCGCAGAGTGGTCAGAGAGATGCAGTGTCTGGCTTTTAAACAGATGCCTGAAATTCAAACTCAGGTCCTTATGCATCCACAGCAAGCTCTTACCCACTGAGCCACCTCCTCAGCTGCCCTCCCTGTGCTTGGAGAACCAGAGTCTCACTCTATACGGAATACTGGCCTGAGAATTACAATACTGTCTCAAACACACAGCAGGTAATACTTCCGGAATGCTAGGATGATACATGTTAATGCTATACCTTCTATCCCCTCCCCCCCCCTTTAAAGAAAGATTTCATATAGGTCAAGTTGGCCTTGAACTCACTATGTAGCTGAGGATAGCCTTAAGGTTGCGGCCAGTCTGTCTTCATCTACAGAATGTTGGGATTACAGCCATGTGAACCACCATACTTGTTGTTTGCAGTGCTTGTGATCCAGATCCAGGGCCTCTTGCATGCTAGGGAAGCATCTAATCAGCTTGCACCCCAGACCTAAGTTTGTGCTCTCCAAAGCCAGGTTTTCTTCCTTGTATCCTGAGAGCTACCATCTCTGGGTTGCTTAATCACCTTATATGTCTTGTTTTTTATGTAATACATTTTTTTTTGAGGATTTCATACAAGACATGGTTCAGTCTTGGGATGGCAGTCACGGGCTCACATGTCTTGACACAGTCCATGCAGGACGAGCACCTCCTGAGAGAGCAGTTGATAAAGTTTTATGAAACAGAAAAGAGGGATCAACCCATTTCGACAGACATAGCATGTGAACTAGTTGACCAAGATGATGTTGGCAGGTAGAAACAGTGGCAGTGGCATTCTAAACACCAAATCTGTGGTGTCCTGGAAGGCACTGACCTGTAAAGAGCAAGGCATGTCTGGAGAAGAGAGCCTCTGGTGTAAGACAACATAGGTCCAAAGTTGGAAAGGGTTAGATAGGATGGCGAGGTGGTAGGGATGGCAGGCCAAGGGTCTCAAACTCCTGGCAAATTCCTGATGGGTGTAAATACCATTCAAATCCAAAGAGGTGGCAAAAGCCAGCAGTTTCATTAGATAGCATGGGACCTCCTGCTCTTACCACGCCATACTCAGGTTTTTGACATGTTTCCCTTCGTTTACTCCTCTACTCATGCAAATCTTTCCTAAGTAATACGAGAACACTCACACCCTACCCATCAGTGCTTGATGGTTCCTCCACCTGGACAAATCTTTCCCCAAATAACCGCACAGCATGCTTCTTTGTTTCATTCAGATCTTTGCTCTGTAACTCATACGTGAGAGATTCCCGTGTGTACCCCATGTTCTGAAAGCATCCCTTTGCCCTCTGTCTTAAAAACCCAGCTTTATTCTTTCACGGTCTTTGAGTCCACCCAATGTTTTAGGTATCTGTTCTTGCTTTCCCCTTTCCCTGGTTATGTACCATACCTGAAATGTAAGCTTCTTAGCTACAGGTGTGTGTGTGTGTGTGTGTGTGTGTACATGCACTATTTATTGCTTTAATAGGAACAATGTCTGGTACAAAGAAGCTATTTGAAACTTATTTTTGAAATTAATGTTAATTAATACTTTGATTTCCAACCTCTGCAGCACCTCGGAATGGTCTTTTCATTTTCTTATTTTCCTATTTTGAGAGGCTATATGCAAACTAAGCTCTCAAATGCTTGTTAAGAACTGTGGGTTCCAGGACCAGCTCTCCTGCTTGTCATAGGTAGCAAGGGGTTAGGGTGGGGGAAAGCATCTCTCTCTTGCCCACACTGCCTCATGGCAGACAAGTTGGGGGCTGGCAGCTCACCCATGCTTGAGACCAGCTTGCCTGTGCCCCTGCCATCAGGGTCATCTCTACTCTGCTGCTCAGGTAAGGTTTCAGAGCCTGCTCTCCCAAGTCGTGTAGCATATGAGGGACAGGGACAACATTCCTGCTCCCATGACTCTGTTGGGGCTTACTCTCCCACCTCCCACCGATGGCGAGGACAAAATGGAGGTGAGTGGATGTCTTCCTTGCCAACATCACCAAACAGGACCCAAGTTTGAATTTCAGGCATTCATTTAAAAGCCAGACACTGCATCTCTCTGACC